TCCAGAGTTTGTGGCGTGTGCTCCACCGCACACAGAACATACGGGTACACATTCATGAGGGGCCCGCACCCCCTCCTCCACAAGCGGAACCTGCTGTCCACATAGGCCACACGTATCCGGTCGTGGGTTGGGACAAGTGTCCATCCGATGGCCGACGACACCGCACTTGCCGCAGGCCGGGATCGTCCGGTAGTAGGGTTTGACGGGGATCAGCATTGTGTCGTAGTGAACAAAGCGTGGCTTCTCCTTGCCGGCGAAGGTTACACGCGCCTTGTTCGATGTGCCAAATTTACGCACCTCGACGATGGTGCCTGACCTCCTGCGTACGCTCTCTCGGAGCGTCTCCGTCGTATCTGTGTTGCGGACTACGATGACTCCGTGGCAGACATTGCTACCATCTTGTCGCAGGTACCCGTTGAGCAGAACCTGCCTGTGCTTGATGTTTACCGCGAAGTCCCCGATGATTTTGTCCGCCGTGTCAGGGTCCGGGGTGTAAATCACGATCAAATTTTGCTCTCTCGATGGAATAACTGTCAGCGTCTCAGCTCGCTTGGGCCCGAGGTATGCCTTAAACGCAGTCCCGTAGCAGTTCTCTGAGAAAGCATCATACAATGAGATGCACTCTCGTGGCTTTACGACTATTACATAGTCGTCCGGACTCGGTTTCGGAAACGGGCGAGGCTTCCATTTGGTGAGAAACTTGCCCTTGCGTCCCACAGCGCGCGAAGCGAGAGGCTGCGTCTTGTCAGCTGGCGTGCCGGATGCCGAAGCAGCGGCGGACGCCGCCTTCTTGGTGATGGCTTGCGAGCGGCGTTCCACCGCGTCGTTGAGAGCTTGGCTCCGAAACCTCGGTGAAGAAGCAGAGTTTGGCGTTTCGGAAATCGTAATCGTCTCCCACGTCATGGCATGCGGGTCGTATCCACGCTGCATGAGAGTAGCGTCCATGTCGCCTCGGAAAGCCGGTCCCACGCCGCCGGGCGTCGGCGTCGCCGTTTGGCTTAACGGCGTCGCCAACGTGGTCGAGTGATGATCGGCCGTAAAGTTGTCAAAAACCGGCCCACCTGGATGACACTGGTATCCACGTGTTGCCTGTGCGTTGCCGAAACGATTGATGCTGGTCTTGACGGGGTACTGTGAAGTTGCCCGTGGTTCTAGCCGAAAATCAGCGGAGCCGAAGCGCAGCACGTCCTACATCATCGCGCGCTTGCAGCGCCCCCCTGTGTCAGTGGGCGTGTCTTTTTTAGCGGCGAAGCTCCTTATAGCGGCACCCGTTCGTCCCCCGTAGTATGTAAAAAGTATAACATTTTGACCTCCAAGGTAGTGCCGGTGAGAGACTTCTTCTGTGCGTAGTTGAACAATAAAAAATAGTACTCAATGTACATGTGAATGGCTGATATTGGGGAATGAGAGACAGGAGCATTCGGCTTTTAGTTAACGCGCAGGCTGCGATCACCATTAGCAGCCATCGGCGTGTACATTGCGCACTATCTGACAAGGAAGGGTTGCTACGTTATACTCGCTGGGTGTAACCTCCTTAGCTTTAGAAAGGTTTAGCGAGCGTTGAGCCGCAGTGCCATGAATACAATGAACTTGTATATACCATGAATTAACTCGAGATGGTTAAAAATGGGAAGTAAATACGAAGCCCAAGCCGTAAGAAAGTAAAAGCCGAATTCTCCGCCTCTCATTTCCCATTAGCAGCCATTGGCATGCACATTGAGCACTATTTGACTGAAAAAGTTTGCTACGTCATACTCGCTGGGCGTAACCTCCTTGGTTTTCGAAAGGTTTAGCGAGCGTTCGGCCGCAGTGCCATGAATACAGTGAACTAGTATATATCGTGAACTCGAGGTGGTTGAAGGTGGGAAGTGGACCCGAAGCGCAAGCCGTAAGAAAGTGTGCGTGTGCCACCTCTCGTTTAGTCCTTGGAATGTCCGCTGGATGGCGGTGCTTCTATATGGGGAATATATGATGAAAAGATGCGAGATGGTGGTACTTGGAGTGTTGAATAGATGGACGAACGGACACATAGACAGATGCATGGATGGACGCATGAACGGACGCAGGGGCGGCTGCATGGACGAACGCAGGGACGGACGCACGAACAGACGCACGCACGGACGGGCTGATGGACGCATGGACGATCACACTGACGGACGCATGGACGGACGGAAGCAAGAACGAATGGACGGACGAATTCTTCGCCCCACTCTCCATCATTCACTCCGTGGACATGCTGCCATTTTTTTTTTTGTGCGTGTGGCGAAGCAGCGCAGTTATTCGTTTTGTGTCGACATGCACGAACGCGTCGACCAACGTCCCTCTAATCTAATTAATCGTTAGCTATATCAATTTATTAGAAAGTCCGAACGCATGGTAACAAGCAAGATTTGTTTAGCTTCGTCAAAAAAATAATCTTAGCGTGTTCCCTGTTTGTTCGCTCTTCGAAAGCTCCGCTGATCAGAAGCCAGCAGCTATTACACGCTGGCTTGTCGTCAAATAAAACGGCGTCCAACGTATGATCGCAGATTATAGGACCAACCACGTATGAGATTCCACCGTCAAATTTGGCCTAACGGACCTGTAATAACTCTTCATGGGCCAATATTTAAGAGATCTCGATTGACATTTTGTCCAAAGACATTTCAAGACAAACACGAAGTTCAATTTCAACTACATAGCTTGATCGACAGTCATCAAGATATCTTGATGCGAACACTGAACAGAAATTCAGTGCGGCAAACCCTGAATAGAAATTTTGGCGGCCAAACATTCAGAAGGTCTCATGATCTGCTTGACGAAATGCATGGACAAACGCAAAGTGCTACTCCAATATAATTACTTCAAGTTCTTTGTGGTCATTCTTATTATCCCCAAAGACAATATTTACAGGTGTACAGGCCCACCAGGATTGCTCACTGATTACATATCACAAGTAAAAGAAAGGAATGCAATAATAGCAAGTCAAACATGAATATTGTGCACAAGGGGACAAAAAGAAATTTAAAAACTAGAACATACCAAGCGTGTATATCGGTTCCCGAAAAATAAGAAAAAATGATTGGCACTGATTCCCGGCCAAATCTCAAAACTAACAATAAAAATAACATTAGGAGGTTATGTGTAAACAAAAATATATAATCTTGGTTATGTGATATTCAGAGGCAATGTGCAGTGTGAAGGGTTTCGTTAAGTTATGTCGTAAGAATATAAATATTTAATGGCAACACTGCATATGCATCTGACATTCTATTGAATGTCCTGAAACGAGAGGTTACCGGTGCATGATGAGTGAAAGAAACCATCACTGATTGAAGGATAGTTTCGAGCTTACGCAAAGTAATTATGGGTAATTTTTTTCATGTTCTCAATAAACTGTTTGTAAGCTGAATTAATGCGTGCACAAGTCTCAGCCATATAGCACGCACATCATTACAGCTGTACCACCGCAAGTACATAACGAAAGGCACACCAGTGCTAATTAGCTTCACGGGTGTCAATAAACAATGTCCCTGACGATCACGCAAGCTACTCAGGGTTGAATGCGGCGTGGCCTCGGCTGGCGCGCCCTAGCATGTCTTCATTGAATGAGACTCAATCTTGCGTAAGTGCATTAGGCCTTTCTCTATTCAAGTTTAACGATGGAACATCGCTGAGTTGCAAAACGTCACGAAGGACTACCTACAATGCGCACAGTTAGTCACTTGCGTTGAATTGTCACCTTGGTGAATAACAAAGGTCTCCGTTGTGCATGTACGCAATGTTCCGAGCCTCGGCGACCGCGAATACGTGGTTGAAGAGGGAGCCCAGCCTTCGTGACACCTGAATGCTTGACCTTCGCATGCGTGACTTTCGCCGTGGCCAAAAGCGTTTGGAGCGGCGTATCCACACGCGACGGAATTACCATGCATTACTGATGTTTTGGCTATGGTTGCTAGTATATTACTGTTAAACTTTAAGAAAAAACTTTTTGTTGGGCTAGTTGGTGCATGATTCAGGAAAATGTCAGACGCAAACCTCTAATTAAAACAGCCGAAAAGAGAAAAAAAATCGTCTTATTTTTTCGTTTCGCCTGTTTACCATTGAAGGTTGGCAATTTACATTTTCGTGTAAAATTTTAGCGCTCAAATGGCTGAGACTTACCGGAAAAAAACAGAACTCAAACGCTTGCGATTTGTCGCATTGCGTGAAGATTATTTACATGCACGCTCAACAAGCGCAGAGGTGTTGGTAGCGAAGTATATCCTCCAGCACGGAAGAAGACAGAAAAAAAGAACGCTTGTTTCAACTGTGCCCCGTCTTTTAGAACGCTGTTATTATCAACAGGAAATTCTGAAGATGACATCTGCTTTGAGAGAAGAATTTCCCAAGCTTTCGACTAAGTGCACTGAGTCATTTTTCAAGGAGATAAAAAAAGTCCTTCATTAAAAAATTGCTAATGATTGCTGAGGTTTTGCTTGCCAAACCCACGGTATGATTACTAGGCGCGCTGTCACAGAGGGGTTTCTTTCCTGTGCACCTCAATCTAAATAAGCAGTGTCTCTGGCTATTCGCGTGGACAAAAAAGTGAACATAGAAGGGAAGAAAGGGTTACCTTTTAGGCGGAGCAGTTACATCGCTTGAAAAGGCTGCTAGCTTCAAAATCGACTTCAAGTTTATGTGTTTTGTAAAATGACGATTTTGTTTATTCAAATCTGCTAAAATAGTTAGTTAACATGTCCTTTATTCAAAACTTGTAATGTAATAAGTGAGCGCGTTCTCCTTTGCAATGCGAGTAATATGTGCCTCTTCAAGTGTTACTGCTGCTCAATGCAATAGAGCACACCAAAATATCTGCAGCCTTGCATGAAATAATTAATTGAATTATATAAATATTTTGAATAAACGTTAATAATTAATTAGAAAAATTTTACTCCGTGTCATGGACTATCTTTCTATAACCCTTTAGTTCTATAATGACGGTACAATTACGACTGTTTCTCATATTCTTTCTTATTGCAGAATACTCTAAAAAAGATACGACAAGGCGTGTGCATACCTTCTCATTGCACCGGAAGAGAACTGGAAGCGCTCGTCGCGAAAGGTGAGCTGCGTGCCTTTTTTTCCCCTCTAACAGCTCATGTGAGCGTATTAAAATGCGTATTATTTGCACTCTTCCTTCTCTGCGGTAGAGTAGTATACAGGCGCAAGTTACTTGATGTTCGCTAGAAATGAAGTTTCCACGGCCTTTGTTGTTGCTTTTTTTGGTCTCTATTCAAAAGCGCACATACAAACAATTTACTTGTTAGTAGCGCTCGTCCTCTGCTCTTCTTTTTCTGTGTTTTCCCTTAGACTCGTATTGGCAAATTAAATATACGTATATAGACATAACGTTAAGTAATGATCTTTTAACTTTACAGCAAACCCATGCACCCTCTCACATGTACAAGAGTCAATAGCCCGCAAGCATCGTCGGTTGCCCCGTAATAAAAAGTATTTGCTACGGCAAGTACTTTTTACACGTGGCCTACGCGTAATAATCTACCGTGGTCACACAGACAAACGTAGCGCAATTAACAGCAAAAATGTCGCTTTGACAACACCTTTTGGAAATGACGGTAATGACGATGGTTATTTTCGTACCACAACAGCAACTTATTTCAGACATTGAATATCGAGTAATAAGTTGTTACAGCAATGGGCAACCCTAAAAATAAACTTCGAGTGCCAACGCGGCAGATATGACCGTTGTACGACGTGTATAGGGCATGCCCCTGGCATAGGTCGGCAAACTCACTCCAGACTCGAATAACTCAGACTCAGATCGTGCTCGGAGTGAGTGAGATCAGGTCAGTTATATTTTGGTGAGTCGGAGCCGAAGTGAGTCTCGTTGAAGCAAATATTGGTGAGTCCGCGTTCTAGTGAGCTCTCAGCGCAAGATGTATTTCGTGAGTGAGTCTGATTGAGCTCCACCATTAATTGCTGAACCGTATAGTTTCTATCTACTCGTCTTCAGCATTATTAGAATGAGGTATATAAGCTCAAGCTTCTGCTTAAACTCTTTTCGCGGATATTCCAGCAATGCACTACCTCATATTTGCTCCAAGGCGGGGGTTTGGGAGAAGGGGGCTATGACCTTCTCCCGCAAACGATATCTCGTGCAAATCGCGGATTTCATGAAAAAAGTCCTTACTGAAATTGAAACCACTGATAACTCGCATATGAAGGTAAAAGATCAAAAAGTGCACTGTACAGCAACTGATTACGTGAGGTATTGGGGACAAAGTGCATTGAGATCTAGATCGGAAAATGCTGATTTCACGTTGACACACTCGTGAGTCGATTCACTCAGGCTCAATCACACCAAGGTGAAGCCGTGAGTCTGAGTCTGAATGAATCCGGCTGAGTAACACGTCAGCGTGTTCGAGTAGTACGTCAGTCCGGTCGAGTAGAAGCACACTGAGTCTGAGTCCAAGTCAGCCTGGTTGAGGAACAATTTGGTGAGTCTAGGTCCGAGCGAGTCCTCCAAGCAAAATGTATTTCTTGGGTGAGTCTGAGTCAAGAAGTCTTTAGTGGTATGAGCTCATAACAATGTTCCTAATAACAAAAACTATAGTGTGAAAAATTCCATGAGCTCATCCTTGGATAACAAGTTACCTGATCTCGAGAACCTCAACCTAGGCTAGACACTTCGTCTCGGCACAGTAAGTCTGACGAATGAGCTCACCTGGGAGCGCACCTTGTAGCGAGTGTCACGAAGCGTTCCCGTATGACAGCATGCAGATCAGCACTGTAGCGGTGAAGTGCCCTCCTTCGAAGTCCACTTAAGTTGGCCGGTGTGACAGGGGTATCAATACACTTAGAGCATCCCCGTGACGAAGTATAAGCTAAGCAAAACTGCGAAGGTTCTTCGGTGCAGAACTATCAGTTTCCTTCAGAATGTCCACTCTGCCAATTTGTCGCGCCCAAACATTCGTGTTCTATTTTCAGTGCTCAACGGGTCGAATACGTCGGCTGCAGTGTCAGCGTGCCGCTCAAGGAACGACTTCAGCATCACCCACGTGCAGCTGGCCGTCATGTGAGCCATCTCCGCAGTCATAGCTTCTTCCCTTCAGTGAACCGTTAGCGAAGCATTGCATATCTGTGGTGCGCTCGTAAATGTTAATTGTCCGCGTAGTGAACATGTACACAGTTACATCTTTGTTTCGCTTTCTTTCTGCCGTCTTTTGCTACGTAAAAAGCACTGAATGTTACGCTCCTTCGGGAGTCGACAATAAATGGAAGATTGCAGATGACTTCGGCGGCACGTACAGCAACAGCAAGAGCGGGGTTTGCTTAACGAGGACAAGACCAACTCAGCGATGCGGCTCTGATGCAAGAGTAGTCTTCTAAGTAGCCTTGCCTTTCCTTCAAAGCCTTCGCTCTTGTATACCAAACCCTATAATATAGCCTCCTATCGTGTCAACGTTAACTCCGGTTGCAATATTAGCTATCTAGTTTAATAACAATGTAAGAAATATTACAGAAAATACAGTATGACCTAAACAATGTCCCACGTGGAGGAATACGCCGTACACCGTTTCTTATTATACCCACATCATTGCACAATCAATTCGATAAAACGGACACCTGTGTTCAAACGCGCCGTATCGACGTTACGTTTATAATCGTATGCTTTCGGGCGTCACAGAAGTATACGATTGCTCACAATCGATACCGTAGCCAGGGAATGAATGTGTGGAAGGCCCTATGAAACATAATCAATTTATGATCAATCAAGATTATGGATATCTTTTTCCCGTGGTCTCTGACAATGGTGATGTAAATAAATAAACAAATCTAATCAAATAAAATCAAACTTTTCCTGCCTCCAAATAGTTCATTCCTCAAACAGGCAGATTGCTCAAAGAGTTGATGACTTGAGCAAGTGGTTCACTGAGAAAAGAAAAATTCATCGCTATGGGCCTGTTCACAAAATGCACATATATAGCTGCTCAAAATCCACACTGTTAGTCTTATTCGTAACGCTTTACTCAAAACAATAATAAGTGCTGTATAGACCACTACTTGCCGACCTCATCTCATTATGACTGCCAGAGTGAGTGTGGATCTGCCGAGTTTCTTCGACTTAAGTTATAACCGACTACAGTTAGACCTCTCTTTTCGGGGGCCCCTGCAAGACGTGCTGAGCGAAGGTAATGTGGTTGTAGTACTCCATTAAAAAAAATAAACAACGCATCTTGGCTCGACGAGGTCATTGTTGGAATCGCCAACACGCTCATCGTTACTGCTTGGAAGCACGAACGAAACGTTGATAGAATTGTCGACTTGCTTCTTGAAAAGCATTCTACTGTATATCTGTACGAAAGTAATTTCAAAGAGTCATATAGCTGGCTTTAAGCGCGTAGCGCTATAGGGGCCGGGCTTCTCGTTTATCATTTGGTGTAATGACGCTCACAATCAGGTGGTCAATACTACCCTAAAAGAAGGCTTCAAATGTCCAGAACCAGAGTAAAATAAAAGAACGAGGTGTAAAAAAACATTTTAATGAACACAAATAACTACAATGTAATCACGACATCCCCGCCGGGCAAGAGCACCACAGCCTCGCCAAGCGCGCAATTATACCTCCCACCGGCGCTTCTCCGGCGCCTTCCTCGCTACATACGCGAGGGAAACAACTTGACCGAACGCACTGCAGACGAACGGACATCGCAGCTGCTAGAACAAGCAGCAAATCGATTATGTGCAGCGAGAGATAGCGCGCATGTCACACGCCAAGTTTGAAAATCTCGCCAGCGAGATCCTACTGGAGCCGGGTAAACCCTACATACTTATCTCAAACACTGACGTCGCATCGACAGTTAGGTAAACGGAGCAGTGGGAACTCTATGAACGGGAATCGCTCGAAGCCCGAACTACGCACATATTCAGGTTTCGCTCTTGTAGAGCTGCATACAACAGTTGCTTTACAAGGACTGCATTTTGTTCTTTGTGTTTTATTTTGAATTACTTGCGAAAAATGACACCTCTGAGTATCCAATTTATGTGCTACATATCACGCAAGACATTTTTTTCAAAAAACATACTATTCTGGTATATTGAAGTCTGCGTGCTCTAACGCCATGTCGATAAGATTATGCCATTGTGTGTGCAGGTAGAGGTAGAGAATAATAAATATTTAGTCAAGCTGCTGCAGGTTAAACATCTCGGTAGCGTGGAGCGAAAACTTCAACGCATGGAAAGAAACAACACTGGACACCATCGTTTTTTGTTTTGTTTCTCGCCTTGACGGATGAGGAAAACAGAATCCGCATTGCCTTATGAGGTGTTCATACAGAATAATCTTACATCCAGAGTCATATATAGTTGAGGTTGTTGAGAGGCGCACCTGCCATATCTGTTTCTCCTCCTAATTGCATGGTCTTGGCATCACAAAAAAAAGTAAACGTTGATTGGATTTTCGGGTATCACTGGAAATAGATCAACGATGAGCTCCTTGCCTGCTCATCGTCTTATACATTTCTTACCTTCTCTCCCGTTTTTTACCTGTATATGGTCTATCAATATAGATTTATGGTATGACAGCTCATCGAAAAATGATTACTTATTTTAACGAGTTTTGTCTGTCTACTACAAATAAAGATTTGTGCCACATTTACGGTCAATCTTAGGTACACTTCCATAAATACTGAATATAGCCCTTGACATAAACGGTGCCTCTGTATGTATTGTCTTAACGATCGTCGTCCTTCTGAAACCATCCAATAATGCGAATACATGTGAGCACGCAGTAACAGCAACTGTAATAATAGTATTAGTAATATTAGTATTAATAACTAATAATAATACTAATAACGCCTGGGTGCTCTCGCGGGAACCAAATTAGTATAAGGGGGGTGGGATAAGAATGGTTTGACAATATAGACTTGAATATAGGCTTAAGTAATGTCACAATCCCGTCGCGTACGTCGTGAAAGACTTTTCCTAAGATAGTGGTACATACCCGCGGGCGGGTATGTGCTACTGTATGTGGGTATGTGCCACAGGTGATTGACACTTCGTATCTACCGAGAAACAACGCATTCTGCGTGGCAAACAAGTATTCTACCATAGAGCCACACCAGGTCTCAGAACCAACGTTACTAGACTCGGAACTACCTTTAAAGCGAATCCTATTGTTCGTGAAACGTCAATTGTGCTTGCAGTGCTGACCATCTGCAGTAAATCAGTCAGACGCTCGGCTGGGAAATGAACGTAGATATATTGACGCCCAGTCTTTTTATCGAATGGCTGTGAACTCGTGATAACGCCACCACTGCTTGCGTGGTTGATAAGCGATAAAATGTACATATGACGTTAGTACACAACACTTCTTCCTTCCAAGATTAGTTATACAAAAAATACAAAAATACGTTAGGTTATTCATCAATGCCATAACGTAGAATAGGCCGTCGAACACGCGTTGACCTTCGCGGCGCGATCGAATCTTGGCCGGCATGTTCCTGGCTTGCCACTGATATCTCTGCACTCGTCAGCTGCCGCTGTGGGCCTCTTGTGCTTGGCTCTTGAACAGCTTGACATGGACTCGCCGTTACAGTTGCTTCTGGGATCGTCGTCAGCGGTTGGGGTCGTGTTGCTAGGGAAAAAAAAGCGTAGGGTGGCAGCCCACCCCGGTACCCTTGTCTGCTTAGCAACTCGCCCAGGCACTTCTCAGTTGGTTCCGATGTCGGTGATGGCGCTCGCCGTTATCTAATTGAACCGTGTACGACACTGGGCCTCTGACCACCACCACTCTAGTAGCTTTCCACCTGGGACCTGGAGTGAAGCATTTAGAGTAGACAGTGTCACCAACACAGTACCTCTTTGTCTCTGGAAGCTGACCTTCAGGCACATGCTGTCGGTCCGGATAAAGGCGATCCAAAGCCGTTCTCAGCCTCCGTCCCATCATTTCTGCTGAAGATTTCCCTGTGACAAAATGTGGCGTCGTGTTTTGTTGAAACAAGAATCGCGAAATCTTGCACTGTGTTGATCCTTCCTGTTGCTGTTTTAAAGCTTCTTTGACCTCCCTTGCAATCCTCTCTGTTCTACCATTGCTAGTGGAAGGATAAGGTGCCGTAAAAACAGTACACACACCATTACACTTCCAAAATGTTTGCAACTACTACAAATAAAGATTTATTTATTTAGATTAGATTAGGATGGAACGGCTTGTGAAGGCCGTTCCGTCCTCACAAACAATAACGCCTGGCACACCATGTGTCGCAAACATTTTTCTTAAGCTTGTCACAACGGCCGAAGCCTTCATTGACGACATGATTTCAACCTCGGCCAAGTTTATGCATGCATCGACCACGATAATGAAAATATCTCCTTTGACTGGGCCCGCGAAATCTATGTGCAGACGACTCCAAGGTCTGGTTTGACCCAAAAGAGAACGGGAGCCTTGGAGTCACTTCGTCGATTGCTCTGACATGGCTGGCAGTACCGTACAGCCACGGCCACGTCTGTTGAGAGCGCTGGAACAGCCTGTTTTTCTCTGTGGGCCAAAAACTTGAGACAGTTTCGGGCTCTGAAGTGGTGTATCAGGAGCATTCACGACCTAGTTGCCAGGCTGACCACGTTAGAGCCTGATATTGCCCCAAGGTTCCACCCCACGGAGTTATAAACTCGATGTTCGCGTGCTCTACACAGACGTGCCGCGGCTGAGCATACTGTTCAATTTGGCGATCCATGTTTGGCCACCACATCAGCCCTCTAGCTACAGCTTTCATAGCGCTCATCCCCGGGTGATTTGCATGCAGGAGCACTGACTCTCTTGCTGCTTCTGCAATTATCACGCGATTTCCCCAGGGTACGCAATTCCGGTGCAATAAAAACTCGGTCTTTCACACCTCGTATGGTGCAAACGTGTTGTCTATTTGTGTCGAAGGCCGATCACTCAGGATCCAGTCCTTCACCTTAGACAAGACCCTGCCTGTTTTGATAAGCTTGACAATATCTGGTGCCCTAATGGTGGACACTCTACAGCTTGCAGTAAAAGCACATCTCCAGGCGGTTGGGGTTCGTCCTTGTTCCCGGGAGCTGGCAGTCGACTGAGTGCATCGGCGTTAGAGTTGTCCTCCCCTCGCCTGTACTGAATGTGATAGTTATAGACAACAACAAAATCTAGCGCAGTATTTGGGCAACAGTACTTCCAGTACTCGTTTGTCCGTGTTAAATAAACCCAAAAGCGGTTTCGGATCTTATCATCATGAATTCTCACCCAGCAACGTACTGATGAAATCGTTTCACACCAAAGACGACGGCTAGACCCTCTTCGCCAATGTGGGTGTAGTTACACTCACTTGCGCCAAGAGTTCGTGAAGCATAAGCTATCAGGTGCTCGCTCCCGTCAGCAGCTTTATGCGCCAGCACCGCTCCCACCCCTACGGGGGATGTGTCACAGCACAGTATCAAGGGACGCTCGGGGTCATAAGAAGCATGTACTGTATCGGAGCTAAGTAGCTTTTCAGGTTCTCAAAAGCTCGTTGGTGCTCATCTTTCCACTCCCATTCGTGGTCCTTGTCTAGGAGCCGGTATACAGGTTCCGCCGCTTCGGTCCTGCCCTTGAGGAAACTGCTGTAGAAGTTCAGTAGCCCCCAAAAAAGCTTGCAACTCTTTCTTGCTAGTGGGCGTTGGCGCTTGCTGGATGGCGTCAGTTTTGCTTGCACTCGGATGGATTCCTGTGTTATAAATCCGGTGTTCCAAGAATGCGATGCTCGTCTTGTTGAATGCACACTTTTTAACTGCGCTCTTTCCAAGCGCGCCAATACAGCATAAAGTCTTTCTGCATGCTCTAATGCGTTACGCCCAGAAATGAGGATAACATCAATATAAGCCTTAACACCAGGAATGGCCGCCGACAATGTGTCGATGACTCGTTGAAACACCCATGGCGTGACAGAAATTCCAAATGGCAGCTGCCTGACCTTGTCAGTCAGTCGCCATGGCGGCATTATTGTCTGTTAGATTTCATTATATTGTGTCAAAACACGGAAAAACGAGCCCTTAAGTACACACTTCTTTCCGTTATTCATTAACGAGAGTCTCGTACTGGCAGACTTGGTGCCTTAGGTTTTATACGAAGGACTATTAATCAGCTGCCAGCTCGTAATAAGTTCACGTGCTACGTGACGCCACACATGTTCATAAAGAATGTGTCACACTCGCCGCCATGGCTACAGACGGCACTGACTGACACTCCCACGTTTAAATTGACTTAGATACGCAATAAAGTGGCTGGGGGGATAGCTGTCATAGTAGCACAGTGGTAGAGCATCGAACGCGTTATTCGCAAGTCGCAGGTTCGGTGCCTGCCCACGGCAAGTTATCTTTTCACCCATTTTCTTTCTTCACATTTACCTTAAAATTCGGTCTGATAACCTCTCCATAGTTTCCTTGGCGTTATTGTTTGTTAGATTTCATTATTATTGTGTCAAAGCAAGGGAAAACAAGCCTTTAATATACACTTTTACCCCTTATATATTTATATATATATAATGCGTATGGACTGTCGTATGGTGTCCTTGAGTGGCGCAACGCAGCAAAACCTAGTACAACAACCACAAAAAAGAAGAAGCGAGTGACCAACGAAGTGGGAAAGAACGAGCAAATATGCGTAAAATTGTAAATAAAATGAAAAAAAGATGGAAAAGACGCATAAAGACTGTAGAATATAGAAAAAGAAAGTTAGATACAATAAAAGAAACAGAAAACCAAACATTAAAAAGTATGTGAATAGCTCCGCACTCATTTCAGGCTTGGCACCCCCAGTAGGCAGCTAGCCTAATTAGTTTTATTTTACCCCTTGTTCTCTTCACTTTACCAAAAGGCAACTGCACGACTAACCTTAAATAACAATAATTAACTCGCTCATTTGCATGTGTCGTTACTGCATACTTTTTTCTTTTTTCCAACAGTTGCATCTTCATCGTCTGGATCACATTAATCGCCATTTCTACTCTGCTGCACTTTCACTGGGACAGGAGAGAGTCGTCGGCCAAAGAAATTGCAGGTACTAAAAACTAGAAAAAAATATGTCACTCCCTTTACATATGCTGTCAACCTGCATAACATAAATCAATTCGATCGTACGCCCGCAAGCGTGTGTGTGTGTGTGTGTGTGTGTGTGTGTGTGTGTGCGTGTGTGTGGTAGATATGATAGATAGATAGATAGATAGATAGATAGATAGATAGATAGATAGATAGATAGATAGATAGATAGATAGATAGATAGATAGATAGATAGATAGATAGATAGATAGATAGATAGATAGATAGATAGATAGACAGACAGACAGACAGACAGACGACAGACAGACAGACAGACAGACAGACAGACGACAGACAGACAGACAGACAGACAGACAGACAGATAGATAGATAGATATAGATAGATAGATAGATAGATAGATAGATAGATAGATAGATAGATAGATAGATAGATAGATAGATAGATAGATAGATAGATAGATAGATAGATAGATAGATAGATAGATAGATAGATAGATAGATAGATAGATAGATAGGCAGACAGGCAGGTAGACAGACGGACGGACAGACAGACAGACAGACAGACAGACAGACAGACAGACAGACAGACAGACAGACAGACAGACAGACAGACAGACAGACAGACAGACAGACAGACAGACAGACAGACAGACAGATAGATAGATAGATAGATAGATAGATAGATAGATAGATAGATAGATAGATAGATAGATAGATAGATAGATAGATAGATAGATAGATAGATAGATAGATAGATAGATAGATAGATAGATAGATAGATAGATAGACCATTACAGACATCTATTACAATTATTGAGCAAGTGCAACTATGCAGATGAAGTTCTCAAATTGAGCGAATATACGCAGGCCTCTGGTAGGCTTCAGCCGTAGAGGCCTTCTCTACGGCAATGCACAACTTTATTATGGGGCATGGAATGACTGCCTTGTTCAGTTTCTAAAACTGCTTATTTGTTACTTTACTTCACGCGAAATTCTCGCAAAATTCGTTTCTCCATCTCAGGTCTCATCACAGCTTTCGACGACAACGTCGCGACAACGTTTTCGTGATAACTTTTTCTATCGCAGACTGGCACGATAGTGCGATGGGGCGTATGGACAGCGGGTGACAGCGTCCGTATATGTATTTTCCCTTGCCTTGAGTTCATAGTAGCGCTGTTGTCGTTCCTACTTTTTGTCCTTTTGTCAGTCTGCGCTAGAAAATGTTACTACAATGTATATGCGCCAACTAGCTCGTCTTTCAGTATTACTCCAGAACATCGTTCCTACACACGGCCACGCTGTATACATGCACTACAGTAACAGCTGCTGTAGTTGACCCCTCCGCTTCGTCCTCGCAGATTCGTGCCACCGGAAGTTAACGGTGGCCATCTCAGCCGTGACGAGCATCAAGCGCCTGCTGCTGGTCAGACAGGAGAAGCACATGGCTGCCGTGCAGCCGCTCAAGACGGCCAGCTTGCTCTGGATCGTCCTCGGAATGACGTACCGAGCCCGGCTACTCGAACACGGTAAGGCTCACGTAAATTAAATGTCAGGTTTGTAAGAAAAAATAAAAAGAGCGACTTGCACGAAGACTCGGAAAACACAGGACTCTCATGAACCTTTATCAATGCACGCAATCGTCAGTTATCTCAAAAGTAATGAAATGCTGGGGTTTTGTTGTGCACGTTTCAGAACCATTATGTCATTACAAGATAGCCCTATTATCGTGGTGGAGGATAGGGGACACCGCATCAATTTCGACTGCTCTTCTAAATAATTTTCGTTTTAGCAAACTTCGGTTACTGCGAACGTATATATATATATATATATATATATATATATATATATATATATATATATCACTTAACCAGCTCTAACATATATTCGGCCACGACTTTGTGCTCTCGTGTTCGTGTCGTTAACCGGAGATACGTAAAAACATTGATATGATGTGACACGACTTTCTGACGACCATAAATACCAAGCCATATCATTTAATCTCAATTTTGTTAAAAACAATTAGTAGGTCAATAAATAATTCCTCAACGCGCCCAGCACAACCATCCCTAATTCAAATGGGTCTGGACAACAGTGCGTAACGCATTACTAGAACACAAAAATGCTAGGAATACATCGATGATAAAGATAGTTCACAAAAAAAAAAACATAACGTAAGTGCAAGAGGCTATGAAGGGCAAAACGACTTGAACAGCGTGTGAAACTTGCATAAAACAGCGCAAAGTTCGGAGAGAAACAATTACCGCCAGTCCATCCGCACTTCCGTCCGTCCGTGCATCCATTCGTGCGTCTGTCCGTGCATCTGCCTATGTGTCCGTTCGTGCGTCTGTCCATCCGTCCGTTCCTCTAGTGAACACTCCCAGTACCACCAACTCGCACCTTTTCAACATAATTCCACGGGCATATTGTCGCCGTCTCCACGGCGCTCTACGTCACCTGGCCAACAATCGACCTTTGCGGACGTCCTTGCGGGATGATCGCTGAGATTCACGAGCCCACGCAGGATGGATGGATGGCAGGATATGGCTGTACCCTTTAGATCGGGCGGTGGCTAGCGCCACCAAACCGCAATGCTTCATGAACCAAAAACTAGATTTTTTTTCCTTAAATAGTGAGGTTGAGGATTCGTACTTTGCAGTGAAGGGTTTAATTTTCACTCGTGCCTTGACTTTATAGCCACCAGTCAGATAACCTCCTTTTGCTTAATTCTACCCGCTTAAAGTTTATTTTGCCCTCCCGGTCCCTAAACCCCAGTGCTTTGAAAAACTCTGCGCCATCATTCTGAACTATAGGGTGAAGCCCTTTACAGAACATTATCAAGTGTTCGGCAGTTTCTTCTTCCTCTCCACACGCACTGTGCACTGTGTCTACCCCTTCGTATTTGGCCCGATATGTCTTGGTTCGCAGTACTCCCGTCCTGGCTTCAAACAGTAGAGAACTACCCCGAGTATTATCATAGATCCTTTTCTTGGCAATTTTCTGCTTAAAAGTTCGATAGATCTCTAGTGCGGACATCTTAATCATGCCCATCCTCCACATGTCAGTCTCTGTTTCCTTCACTTTCTTCTTAACCGATAGTTCTTTTTGGTTTGGCCACCTGCTGTTTTCTAAGTATTTACCAGTTAACTTCCTGGTTCGCTTCCTCCATTTTGTGTCGACATTCTTCACGTGCAAGTAGCTGAAAACCTTCCTAGCCCAACGCTCTTCCCCCATTTCTCTCAATCGCTTCTCAAATTTTATCTTGCTGCTAGCTTCTCTGCCCTCAAATGATGTCCATCCCATATCACCTTGTACTCCCTGATTTGGTGTATTCCCGTGAGCTCCTAAAGCAAGCCTACCTATTCCACGTTGCTTAATTTCTAATCTTGCTTGAACTTCTGATCTCATGCACAAGACCGCGTTGCCGAACGTCAGCCCAGGAACCATGACCCCTTTCCATATTCCTCTCACAACATCATACCTATTGTAATTCCACAGTGCCCTATTTTTCATGACTGCTGCATTCCTGTTACCTTTAGTCGTCACGTATATTTCGTGTTCCCTCAGATACTCGGTCCCATTGCTTCTCCATACGCCCAAATATTTGTATTTATCTGTTATCTCTAGCGTGGCCTCCTGTATTCTAAGCTCACTACCTTCGTTGTCATTGAAAATCATGACTGCTGATTTTTCCTTACTGAATCTAAAATCTAACCTATCTACCTCATTACCGCAGATGTCCATCAATCTCTGCAAATCTTCCTTGTTGTTGGCCATTAGCACTATATCATCTGCGTACATTAATGCTGGTAGTGCCTGATCAATAAGTTTTCCTTGTTTGACTAAAGAGAGGTTGAAGCCCAGTCCACTTCTCTCTAATTTTGCCTCTAATCCTTGTAGGTACATCATGAATAATAAGGGTGACAGGGAGCACCCCTGCCTAAGCCCCCGTTTTACCTCTGCAGGCTTGGATACCTGTTTTTCCCACTTTATAACTACCTTGTTACCTTTATAGATACCCTTTAAAAGATTAGTGACTACATGTTCCACGCCCAGTGTGTCCAGTATTCCCCACAATTCCTCTTGAACCACGCTATCATACGTTCCCTTGATATCCAAAAATGCTAGCCACAGGCGCCTGTGTTCCTTTTCTGCTATTTCGATGCACTGCGTCAGTGAGAACAGATTGTCTTCCAACCTCCTGTGTTTCCGAAACCCATTCTGCAGTTCCCCCAGCACCCCCTCATCCTCTATCCACGCCTGCAGTCTTTCCTTTATAATCTGCATCGCCAGCCTGTAGACCACTGATGTCCCTGTTATAGGACGGTAGTTGTTTATGTCAGCTTTGTCCCCCTTTCCTTTATAGATCATGCTCATCCTGCTAAGTTTCCATCCATCGGGAACTTCACCATCGATCATTATTGTGCTCACTGCCGCTCTCAAAGCCTGCTTAGACTTCGGACCTAATGTCTTTATCAGCCTGATTGGAATGCCATCTGGGCATGTTGATGTACTACTAGGAACCCTTTTCTCAGCCCTTTCCCACTCTTGTTGTGAAAATGGAGCCATTGCACCACTTGATTCGCCCTTGTCTATTGTGGTGCATAAGGTACTTCTTTGTTGAAATTTTTCGGTCACCCTTGTTCTTATATATTCAATAGCTTCGTCCCCTTCTAGCCTAGCACCTTGGGCTGTAGTTATAAAACTCTGCTCTAGGCTCGTCTCATTTTTTAGGGAGTTTAGATGGTTCCAAAATTTCGCAGCTGCTTTCCATCTTTTTTATGTACTTCTGCCAGCCACTGAGCTCCCTTCCTTCTAATCTTTTCATTGATCAGAAGGGATGCATCCCTTCTACAACTTAGAAAGGTCGCCAATTTTCTTTCAACATCATCTGTCGGTTCACCCCGCTGCTTAGCATGTCTGTGTTCCCTAGAGGCTTCCTGACGTTTTGCTATGGCTCTTTTAACTTCCTCATCCCACCAACTTTTGGGTTTGTGTCTTAGCAGGAGAAGCTAATAACAGCGACCTCTGGGGGTGAGGCCGCTGTTGATCGACCGTTACAAGACCCTCCCCCAAACTTCCTGCCGACATCTAACGAGATCCTTCTATCGACGTATGCCATCGACAACAAACGTGTCTCTGCTCGGATCTCCGTTCTTGTCAACAACCACCCGGTGACCACTCTGGTAGATACGGGTGCCAATTATTCCGTGATAAGCGCCGACCTCGTAGCACAACTACCAAAGGTAACGACACCTTGGGGCCACGAACCCAACCACCGGCCTGCGGGAGGTCACCTATTGACACCGCTGGGAATATGCATTGCACGGCTTCAAATTTGTGAGTCGACATACATTGCTTCCTGCGTCGTATTGCGCGAATACTTCCAAAACGTAATTTTCGGAATGAATATCCTCTGTGAGCATGGAGCCGTTATTAACCTTCGCAACCTACTCATAACGTTCTCTGATGACCATACAGCCAGACAAAAGGATACAGCTGTACAGACTTCAACACTTCGAATTGCTGACGACACCATGGCACTTTCGCTGCGAGCCAGTACGTTGGTAACTTTGGAGAGCGGCTGTGACAACAAGAGTAGTGGTATCGCCGAAACTAACGTCTCTGTGCTCTAGGCTCGGTAGATTTGTGTCGCGCACGCTATCGTTCAACTGAAAAGTCGGAGGGCTCAGCTTTTGACCACGTATTTCAGTGGCGAGTACCAACACTTGGCAAAGCGAACAGCGATCGCGAATATCGAAGCCATATATGACGAAGAACGTTCCACTATCGCCCCGATTTCCACTGCCATCGAGTGTGACACTGCATTAGCCAGTACAGTTGACGTGAATTGCCAGCTATCCTCTGCGCAGCAGCAGCAGATACGCATAATTTTACGTACGTAGAGTGGCTGCTTTGCGTCCACCTCCAAAATCAAGCAGACCCCAACGGCGAAGCCACGAATTATAACGGACCCTACCGAACGGCCTGTAGTTATTGCAGCCTACGCACGCCTACCGCGTGTCGCAAAAATAACAAGAGGCGATACGTTCTCAGGTGAAACATGGGCTCGACGATGACGTCATCTAACCCTCGAGCAGTTCACAGGCGTCGCCCGTCGTACTTTTTAAAAAGAAAAAACAGCACTCGTCGATTTTGTGTGGATTACCGGAAACTCAACAAAGTGATGAAGAAAGACGTCTACTCTCTCCCACGCATGGATGACTCACTGGATCGACTTCAACATGACCGACATTTTTCATCAACGTATTTGCGCAGCGGCTCCTGGCAGATCGAGGTTGAGGAATACGACAGGGAAAAATAGCGTTCATAACTACCGATGGCCTCTTAGAATTCAAAGTGCTACCGTTTGGATTTGCTCTGCACCGGCTACGTTTCTAAATATGATGGACACCGTGCTGTCCGGTGTGAAATGATAATCCTGCCTCGTCTATTTAGACGACGTCATTGTTTCGTTCAAAACATTTGAACTACATATACAGCGACTTCCCTCCGTCTTCGCCCCGCC